GTTCCACCAATCATTTGCATTCATTTTGTTTTGGGAATGATCTGACTGCCTTGGAGTTTACCAGCTGACGACGTTCGGATGTCAGGTCAGTCTCAGGCTTTCAGAATAGAATACAACAGAATAGAATTCTTTATTGGCCAAGTATGATTGGACACACAAGGAATTTGTCTTTGGTGCATATGCTCTCAGTGTACATAAAAAGACAAGATGCATTCCTCAAGAATCATAAGCTACAACACTTAATGATAGTCATAGATAGTCAAATAAACATTCAGGAAACAATCAATATCAATATAAATTGTAAGGTGATTTATCGGCTGCCTTGCATTGCTCATTTCCCTCCCTGAAACTTCCCCTTGCATTCCAGTGCCTTTCCTTCCCCCTTTTGTTACTGTTGTCTGATTGTGACCAGGGTTGCATAGTGAGTCAACCAGGACATAACGACACTCCGGAAAGATTAATCCTACAAGGAAACGAACACACAAATTTGAGACCTAAATCTCCTTACACTATATAACCTATTCGGTTTGATCCAGATACTTAACAAGAAACCTATGGATCAGTGTAGAGGCCCGAACATCCAATCCAGCCATCCACTCTGCATCTGCCGTGGGACATCCCTTCCATAAGACTAAGTACTGTAACTTCCCCTTGTAGCATTGAGAGTGAAGGATAACCTTGACCTCACAATGCTTTTCTGCTTCTACCCATATTGGAGGAGCACGGGGTGGGAGGAGGTAATTCAATAGCCAGTCTGAGCACTGAGGACAGACGGAGAGAGGTTTAATGAACTGCAGTGAAATTCTAGGTGAATATGCTGGAGGATTTTTTGGCAACTTCAAATCTATCGTCATCAGATTTGCAATCCGATTCACAATCTGGATTAAGTATATGAGGAAAGAGTCTATCTACAAGACCCAATTTCTTGCAGGGCTGCTCCAATTTTAAGGATTTTGTGGACAGATACACCTCGTCCACTATTGTAAACTTTTTCTTGGGTGATCTCTATTTGTCAGCCTGCCTGTTTTGCATTTCCCTTGCTTTTTATAACGACTTGCATAGTAGGAGCCATTTGGCTTTTGACGTATCTATCCATTCAACCAATGAGACTGACGAAGGGGTCTCTTCAGGGAGTTCTGACATAGGCATGAACTCTGCACCTTGGCCACTCCAAAGGGGGCAAATTCAGTGCTGCTGTGTACAGAGTTATTGTACGCCACCTCAGCAAAAGGTAAATGTTCAGCCCAATTGATTTGCTGGTAGTTCATGTAGCATTGAAGGCACTGCTCAAGGACTGCATTCGGACATTCACAGGCTCCTTTTACTTGAGGATTATGGGTGGAGCTAAAACCCTAGGAGGATCCTAACAAGCTCAGGAATTCACGCCAAAACTTTGATGCCAATTGATTTCCCCAATCTGAGATTATGCGTTTCAGAACACCATGCAACCGGTATACGTGCTCTACAAGGAAGCCAGCCAGGGACCCAGTGGCAGGGATCCAAGGACATGCCACAAATTGAGCTTGCTTGGAAAGTAAATATCTAATAACCCAGATCAGAGTTTCCCAGCACTCTCCAACAGCTCCACAATAAAGTCCATAGATACACCCTTCCAGGGAGCCATGGGGCTGGCCACAGTCTGTAAAAGTCCTGGAGGCTTACTGGAAAGCCTCTTCACTGAAGCACAAACAGGCAGCTGGCCACATAGGTTTCTATGTACTTCATCCACGGTCTCCAAATTTGCCTTTTTATGAAGGGATTTTACAGATCCAAAACATCCCGCTGCTTTCGCATCATGGCTCCACTGAAACATTAGGGTTCTCTGGCTAGCCCAGGGGTCTGCAACCTTAAACACTCAAGACCATTACCCAGAGGGCTAGCTCATTGGCAGAATAAACACAGGAGTTCTGTGAGCTGGCCTGTTCCCCTTCCCTTGGTTTTCGTTCAGCCGCCCTGAGTCCCTTCAGGGAATAGGGCGGCTTACAAATCGAATAAATCCAATCCAAATCCAATGGGCTCAGCCCAGGTACTTAGCCCAACAGAAGTATTGAGGCAACAAGAGGTATCAGATAACCTCTAATAAACTTGTTTCTTTTTTTGTTATTTTTATCTAAAAGAAACTTGAAGAACAAGGTGATAATTGTGTTTGATATTTGCAACATCAGGAATAATATAATGTAAAACAACCAGGAATATTTCTACGTGTCGAGAACACCTTTGAGTATTTGGATTGGCAAAAACCATAAGCAGGATTACGGGTTCACCTTGTCTGGTTTGCACTACAAAGGCAATTTATTCACACACATCTAAGAAGTGCTACAGTTTATTTGGATTATTACTCAAATGGTCCTTGTATGAGATTTTAGAGAACTATAGATAGTCGTCGATTTACTATACAGTTCATTTAGTGATTGTTCAAAGTTACAGTAGCACTGAAAAATGTGATTTATGACCATTTTTCAGTTATGACAGTTGCAGCATCCTGATGGTTAACTCATCAAATTTCAGATTTTTGGCAAATGATTCAGGATAGTTGCAGTGTCCCTAGATCAAGTGATCCCCTTTTGTGAGCTTCTGACAAGCAAATTCAATGGGGAAGCCCAATTCAAACTTATTACAAACTTAACAACTATAGTGAGTCACTTAACAAATGTGGCGACAAAAGTCGTCCAAAGGCGCAAAACGCACATAATAACTGTCTCAAAAGTTATTATTATTCAAAGTTATTTTTATATCAAAAGCAGTCATATGAGCCGAGGTGGCGCAGTGGTTAGAGTGCAGCACTGCAGGCTACTTCAGCTGACTGCAGTTCTGCAGTTCGGCGGTTCAAATCTCACCGGCTCAGGGTTGACTCAGCCTTCCATCCTTCCGAGGTGGGTAAAATGAGGACCCGGATTGTTGTTGGGGGCGATATGCTGACTCTGTAAACCGCTTAGAGAGGGCTGAAAGCCCTATGAAGCGGTATATAAGTCTAACTGCTATTGCTATATGCCGAGAACAATCTGGATTTCTCTTGAAGCTCTTTCCATAATTCCTTTATTGATATGGTTTCTCCCATATGTTGATGCTTATATGGCAAGTAAATGTGTTACTCCTTGCAAAGCTCATTCCACACTCCATGAAGTCATATAGATTTTTTTTCCAGGGGTGGGTTTGTTCCGGCATTGGTACTGGTTTGGTTCGCACGCACTTCGCTGCACACGTATGCACAGTTCATTGTAAATTGTTCTGAGCATGCGTGAAGGCGATGAAAAACAAATAAACATGCTGGAAGTGGACATCGGGGAACCGGTTTGGGGGCTGTGGCCAGTCTGGGTCATGGCCGGTTTTGTGACCCAGGCCAAATTACCACTACCAGTTCACCCGAACCATGTGAACCAGTAGAAACCCACCTCTAGTTCTTTTCTCTAGTATGGATTCTTTTACACATTTATATGGCTTCTCTTCTGTGTAGGTCCTCTTGTGGGAATTAAGACCATTACTACAAGTAAAGGTCTTTCCACTCTACATGCATTTATAAGGTCTTTCTCCTGTGTGGATCTCCTTGTGGGAATTAAGACTACTGCTACAAGTAAAGGTCTTTCCACACTCCATGCATTTATAAGGTTGTTCCCCTGTGTGGATCCTCTTGTGGTAATTAAGATTACTGTTACAAGTAAACGCCTTTCCACACTCTGTGCATTTGTAACGTCGTTCTCCTGTGTGGATCCTCTTGTGCACATTAAGACTACTGCTACTAGTAAAGGTCTTTCCACACTCCATGCATTTATAAGGTCGTTCTCCTGTGTGAATCCTTTGATGGATTATAAGAGACTCAGAATAACAGAAGGCTTTTCCACATTCAATGCATTGATATGGCTTCTTCTCTGTATGAATAGTTTTATGGTGAATCAAAGCATTTCTGTTCCTGAAAACTTTTCTACACTCCATACATTGATAGGGCTTCTCTCCTGTGTGGATCCTCTTATGGTAATCAAGACTTCTGCTACAAGTAAAGGCCTTTCCACACTCCATGCATTCATAAGGCTCTCTCCTGTGTGGATCCTCTTCTGGGAATTAAGATTACTACTGCAAATAAAGGTCTTTCCACACGCCATGCATTTATACGGTCTTTCTCCTGTGTGGATCCTCTTGTGGGAATTAAGATTACTACTACGAGTAAAGGTCTTTCCACACTCCGTGCATTTATAAGGTCTTTCTCCTGTGTGAACCCTTTGGTGTCTTATAAGTGAGTTATTATGAGAAAAGGTCTTTCCACATTCCATGCAGGTATATCGTTTCTCTTCTGAATGTGTGTTTTTATGAGAAAAGAGATGATTGGATTTCTTAAATCTCTTTCCAAACTCCATGCATTTATATGGTCTTTCTCCTGTATCGATCACTGTATGGTTAGGAAGCCAACTGACCCGAGGAAGACCTTTTTTAACTCCACTCCGTGATCGCTTTGTTTCATCATTCCTTGGTTGCATCTGATCTACACATTTCCTTTTCCCCCTTTTTGAATGGATCACTTGGCGTTCCTGCTTGCAATTCTTATTATCTTGCCCATTAAAGCCTTGAAAAAGAAAAAGGAAAACTGTAGCAAGAATAGGAGAACAATCAACATTTTTCTTCTGAAATCTAGCCAAATAATCATCAATGTATTTCAGCTGGTTTGTTGGCAACCATGAAGAGTCCAAACTAAGTTTATAACAAAGACCCATTTCCAAGTGTATCCCTAATGATCCCCATATAATAGGATTTGATCACGACCCTTTATCTGATCTTTGACCTGGGGAAATTCCATGGTGCTACAAACTCCCGAAATATATTGGACACTGTGTCATGCCGGAGCAGCAACATACCCAGCAGCTCCCAACTTTAATAAAAGTCTCATCTCCTCTTGTCTGCATAGCAGAATTTGAAAGTCAAAAGATAAATTTCTGTATGGCAAATAGCTCCCCACACTAAACTACTGCCAAACTTGGTACACTAGTGGGCATATCTCTTAAGAAAGGAACATCTCTCTCAGAGGTCACCTGGTCTTGGTTATAGCAGCTCAGGGAGATCAGGAACTCAGTGACGAGTTTCAGGTGGGAATCCCAAATCCTGGTAGCCAGAGCCTTGCTCAAGAGAGGCCTCTTCCTCAGATGCTTCCTAATATCTTCTATGAAATATTTTGTAATTGCAGAAAGCTTTTTTAAAATTTCCTTTATGGACAAAGCCAGGCTATGCAGTTTTTCCAATTATTCTTTCAATATATTTCCTTCTTCCATAAAGTCAGTTTGGTCAAAAGTTCAAGACATCAGGCTAGGAAGTAATAAATCCACAGACATTTCATTTTTCATTTTGTCATTACTGGGTACCCAGTGTAGATTAATGAGAAAAGAATGAATTTAGTAACTGTAGAATCAGCCTGCAGCATAACAAACGTGAAGGGGCTATGAATGCTTTCTGAATGCACTGTTAAATAAATGGTTCCCCACCCCCAGAAATAAAATTTAAGCCCCTTCTCTACATTCCTAGGACAGAAAGGGGTTCTTACCCAGAGAAATGAGATTCCTGGAATTCTCCAGCATGACTTCTCTGTGGAGCGCTTTTTGGTTAGCATCTAATTGAGACCACTCCTCTTTGGAGAAATACACAGCCACTTCCTCAAAGGAGACAACATCCTGAACAAGGAAAAAAGTTTCCCTATTAACAGAAAACCCCAAGAGTAATGGGATAATTTTCTTCCATTGATTCTAGGACAGAGATCATGTGGACAAAATGGGCATCTTCTACTGAATTCAGAATGAGATCTCACTGCTTTTGGCTGATGGCACAACTAAATCAGGTTTGATCAAGCTGAAAGTGTTTTGAATGCCTTACGGTATAGCCAACTAAAATATTCTTAGTCTATTGATAGCTGGGTCTTCAATCCACTACTTATCAGTGATTCCCATTCTTCCTAGAATGGGCAGAGGAAAATATTGGCAAAACCCACCTGACATATTTTCCAGTGCTCATTTTATCCACTGAGGGACCAATGTATCCCAACTCTGCACCTTCATAAAGGAGATGGAAGAGCTGGTAACAGTAGTCTATATGTCTATGGAGATTCTCCATTATCAGGTCACAGTTGTCCCAAAGATGCTTTTCAAAAGGCAAAATAAAATATTTCTTTTGTAATGATGTGTGAGAAACACCCTGGTAGACAGAAGGAAGAGTCCTGATGCTAACAACAGTCTGGTCAAAGAAATCTGATGGTGAAGCAGGAGGGGTGGAGAAGGCATATCACAAAGAATCCCCTCAGAAGGAAGAGGGTAGATTAAGCTGAGTGTGAATGTTCGATGAGCTGAGGTAAAATTCGTATTGCTTAGAAACAGCAATTTTATATATTGAGCTCTAGAACAAAATGAAATCCATCCAAGATTCAGGGGCCTTTTCTGGTCTTTCTCCTCCTTACCTGAAGTAGCGGTTCAGCAAATCCATCAGCTCCACAACAAAGAGGTGATTCTAAAAACTCTAAGGATAGCTTTCGACTCTCTGTGAGAAAGAGAAAAGTAGTGGAAGCAGATTTGTTAAAGAGAGACGCTCTAAACAAGAGGAGAGAAAGAATCAGCTAAATGTTGAAATCTCTCATCACACAGAAAGAGGTTTTCTTACCTTGCGTAGCCTCTTGACTTTGATCTTTCTGGAAGTTCTCCCTGAAGAGAAGCTCTTGAGAAGATCTGAATGAATCTTCCCCCTCCTTAGGATACTCAGTCAAAGTTTCCACGGATTTCTGGACATGATGCAATTCGAGACACAAAGGAAGAGCACAGAGATAGAAATGAATTATAAAACTAGCAGCCCTCAATGTCCATTGCTAAAATAGAATGGAAGAACTGCCCCAAATACATCGTCTGGGAGAATAGAACAAATGAAAATTCTGCCAGAGAGGAATGGCAGATACTCTTTAGGATACTCAGTCACAACTTCCAAGGAGCTGCCACGATTCCATCCTCCCACCTGCAACTCTTCTTGAATGTTTTCCTCCTCCTGAGTCAGCAAGAAGCCTTCAGCCAGGGACACCGCCTGGGAACTGGTCTCTGCTC